AATTATAATTTTCCTTATAATTTTTTTAATTCCTCATACCCACGTGCATGAATTATCTTAATATTATTTCAAGATTTTATTGTATAATATAAATATAATATAGTATACGTAAGACAGAGAAACGTACCTTGTTTGTATTCTCCCTCAAATGCTTAATTCTAAGCATGTACGGTTTTCTCGACAAGACATGACAGTCGTGATTAAAAATCTCTCATATGGCATCCCTCCCCCCCCCCAAAAAAAAAAAAAAACTCTCATATGTGATGTAGGAAAAATTACATTGGTCGTCCTCTTGTACAATTTTGGTCATATACATACGTACGCATAGACACGAGCCTCCAACTAATTTCATTTAGTGTAAAATGTTCCCAAGTTTGAACGAATTAATTAATTAAACATTACGAAACCATGAATAATTCGTTTTCTTGACCTGTGAAATATGGTTACCAGTACTAGCTAGCAGTATTTTATTTTACTGCAAAAGAGAGTTTGGAATTTGGTTGTTAAACCTTGCGTTTACTTTGTCAACGTAAGCGCTTAGGAGTGTGCCTTTAACTTACTATTAACCTTTTAATTAAATTAAAATTAAAATTTTCATGGATTTCTCCTGTCCCTTGTCTGTGTTCACACGTCTTTGTTTAGTCCTTTGGGGATTTTCCATGAAGTTCCTCAAAGTCTATCTGTTCTTACATACGTGCTTATGTTAATTTTTAGGATGAGGATTACTATTATGCTTTTTAATTAGCACTCATTTCGAACTACAATATAAATCATTTTTTAAAAATACCCTTGGCCCAAAATATAATGTCTTAAATAAATTTTATATATTTTTTCATTTATATCCTTATTTTTTATTCCTTGTTTTTAGAAGATTCATGTTTAAAAACCATACTCGTGTTATTAGAAATTGTTTTTAGGGAATAAATAAAGGTTTCAACAAACATTTTTTGTAAATTATAAATTAGTTAAAATGACATAGTATATTGTGGTTTGGAGGGTGTAAACTTTAATTCATGATTTCTATTAGCTTGGAAGTTTTTTCTCTGGCTATTTCACTAACTATACATAAATGGACGTTTAAAATCTAGTAAATGTTATATAATTTTCTGTTACGCAAGACAGAGGATGATGGGAGAAAGTTGAATTCATTTATATTCTTCCAGTTTCAAGTTTAGAAAAATTAATTAGGAGTGATATCATTGTTTTTCTTTGCCTTTTTTTTTGGGCCTAACTATCGGATGATGTCATTGTTACGTAATAAATAATACTCCTAATAAACTTAAGTAGCCATCTATTTTCCATGGTGTGCATTGTAATCGTACGGCAGCCACAATATATGCGGAAAGAAAAATTAAATCGATCATTATTATTTGATGAACTTGTAGACCGCGAGTTCATAGAAGAATCGGAAAAAGTCTGGGTGGAAATTTTGTGTGTCTCGGGTCAAGAATAATAACAAACGAGCAAAAAAATTGTTACGACGGGCAAATCAAATGTTGACTTCGCATAAAAGTGATTGTGGATTGGTTAATTAAACAAGTAAGCAATTTAATTGATTATTGGTGTGTATTATTCTGTAATTGAACTGGATGCACTAATATTACGAAACCATCAAATTTAAAACAAACAGTTGACTTGCTCGGTTATTCCAGAATAATCCGTATCACTATAACAATTCCAGAAATCTTCAACATTTTTATTTTTTTTAGCAAAACTTCAAAATTATTATTGAAAAGAAGAACTTATGTATCTTTTCCAATATATTTAAGATACTTATTTTAATTAAATTAAGATATGCAAATTTTTTAAATATTATTTATTCGATGACAAATTATTGATGTTAATATTTTAAACATTTTAAAGTTCACTTATTTTGATTTGATTATATGAAAATATATCTATTATATAAAGTTAAATATTTAAATCTTTTTTATTTAAATTTCTGGCAGGGCATCATTTACCAAAAAAAAAACAGTAGAGATATTATATAGCATATTTGTGAAACGTCGCATGTGAATGAAAGCTTGAAAGCTTAATTAGCTGTGGTTAATCATCAATCACAAAATAAAATCTTAAAGAAACGCACGACGATGGCTTCTCGTATGATACTATATGTCAACATGCTTTTCCCTCAAAAAATAAAAGCTTTGATACATTGGAGACAAGAAAAGACAGTGAGTTTTGATTTCGTGTTTAACAAAATAAAAAAGGAAGAGAGAATAAAAATTTAAAAAAAATGATGACGGTGGAGATAAAGAAATATATAAAAATTAAAAAAGAGAGGAAGAATTAGAATAGTAACAAAAAGGAAGAAGAGGTGAAGACGTCGTCATGGTTGAAGTAAGCCAAAAAGGCGTCTAGCTTGGAAGCGTGTGGGACGGTGGGGTAGGGTACGTGGCATTAACACGCGTCATAGAGTATCCAAAGAACCATAACTCGTATTAATGCAAAAGCCATGTCATATCATGCGTTTAAGTATTTGGTCCAAAAATGATGAGTGTATTAATTTAAATAAGCATTATTAGTGCCGACTTCATGGTTTAATTAACAGAAATAATAGATAAAAGCAACCATTAGAGAATAGGTAAAAGGACCATTGCGAACAAACATTAGGCTTAATAAAAAAGGATTATTACTGTTTAAATATAAGATATTGGATACAAGCATGTGTAAATGATCAAAAAATATTTTAAAATGAATGATCTCAAATTAAACTCAATAATATTCAAATATGATGCGATTGTATTAGATGTCAGCTATAGATAGAAGAAAGAAAATGGGCAGAGGGAAGGGAGGAGGAGAGGATGTTAACGTTAATGGTAGGTGAGCTGATATTCTAATACACAGAGTCCCTCCATTGACCCTTCCTAATTTATCGCTTCATATCTCCATTTCATTGGTTTACCTTTTAAGCTTCATCCAACATCATCCACCTCCACCTCCACCCCTTCCTTTTTAATATTGTTTTCCACGAACTTCATGCTTTAAGCTTCAAGACTCGTTAGTTGCCCCAGCTTTTTTTTTTTTTTTTGGGCAGGCCTTTGCACTTAACAATGAAAGCATCACATTAAATCTCACCTTATCATGAGATTAACTACTTTTCTTTTGATTCACATAAATTTGAGCTGTCAAATATGACCATATCACATTCATTCAAAAAAAAAAAAAAAAGAATCTGCTCGTACTGACACCAATAGGTTTTCCAAGAATGTTTGGATTATTGTTAGCAGCAACATCAACATCTACAGCAAGCGTAGTTGAATGTTGTGGGCACTTGGGAGTAGCGTACTAGACAAGAGCCGGCCACAGGCGGATCTACGTTCAGGGGGATAGGGGCGCAACTGCCGTCACTAGAATCAATGCTATCTCTTAGATATAATAAGGGGAAAATTTCGCTTGCTGCCTCCAAAAAATTGTCATTTGCCCTCGCACAAATATTGCTCTTGGATCACTTAACTTTTTTCCAAAAAATTGTCATTTGCCCTCTCCCAAATATTGCTCTTGCGTCACTTAAATTTTTTAAAAATTTCAGTTTTCGCAACCTTAACATTTTCTCAGTCATTCAATCAAGAAAGTTAATGTCATTTATATGCTAATTTTGTAGGAGATAGAGATCTTAATTTGAGCAACAACTAAAATACTAATCTTTATTTTCTAAAAGATAATGAATTCAGATTCTTTAATTTTTAATTTCTATTCATGGATACTTGAAGGTATTACCTTCTAATAAAGTAGAAGATAATTTAAATACCTATAAGCAAAGGTGCTTACATTTAGTGTTTAACAGTGTTTTATGTTTGATTGCCTAACTAATAGAAGAATACCTATAAATAATAAAAAATAGAAAAATAATATTGTTTAATTGTTTATATTAAAAATATTTATTCTAAAAGAGTAGAATTATTTTTATGAAAAAAAAAGAGCATTAACGCCGGCTCCGACAACATAAGGTTGCGTGACTTTTTTAAAAAATATGTATTTTTTTTTAAATTCTAGCCTGCAAGCTATAGCGTCTTTTTTTAAAATTTAACCCCCACCAACAACCCCTCCTCACTTTATTCAGGGGCTACATATTAATTCTAAATCAACATATTAACATTTTCCAAATTATCGTTTAGTTATCGATATATTTGGCACTAAATAATCAAGTTTACGTAAATATTTTTTGTATTTAAATTTTATTTTTTAAATAACTATTTTGGAGCTGAAGCGCGTTAGTTCTTTATTCAGTATTCACCATGGATGGCGATTGAGGGAGTTGGAAAATCAAGTAATCAATATCCATTAATTTACATTAAATTGGGCCTTCACCCACGGGCCTCAAGTAGTGGGCTCTTTTAAACTCTATGGCGGCCCGTGATTTTCTCTCACGTGTGCACAACCATGAGCAAGGCTTCAATCGAAAGCAGCGTTATCATCATGAACTCACGTGTTCCCTCTGTTTCATCTTGTCTGTTGTTATTTTACACTTTTTGTTTGGTAGACAAACATTTTTGTTTTGGAAATTTAAACTTTAAAGCTTGATTAGCTTTGTTTTTTTAACTATTACCCTCGTTAAATATGTAAGCTTACATCTACAAATTCATCAAACACGCCCTATATCTTTTTTTCTGTTAATTGTTACACTTTTAAATCTATTATCATTTTCATCTATCAAATGAGAAAATTAAATGATAATACCAATGTTAGTGATTATTTATTCTACATAAATTAAAAAATTCCCAATCCATATCACTTTAAACAACAACAAATATGAACATACAATAGGAGGTCTTTGACTCTCAAGTTTATTTTCATGTGGAACTAAAAAACCTATTTTGAAATAATTACCTTTGTTTGAGGTCATAGCCGACTAAAATTTAGATTAATCAAAGTCTTGTATGATTTCACATATGAATCGGATGGTGTTCAATCAATTAATAAATTTTTATTCAGTCTATTTCTACAAACTGACACGTTTCTATTCTGTTTCATCATTCGTCGAATAAAATGGTTAATTTCAACATGTTGATATCATAAACTCATAACTTTATTTTATTTTCTAGCCATTTTATTTATCACAGTACATACTACGGGATTGGGTTAATTAAAAATCACTAAAAATACGTACGACGACGGTTTCAAAATCAAATGACATGTCGACGTACGAAGATACTGTATCTGTAAGCATGTGGCATCATTAAGTAATAACTGAATCAAACAAGATTCAAGGTCTCTTTGGCGTTGACATTTACAGAATTCATAGCATGAGCCTGAGGAGTGGAACCAGAGACACTTCCTTCCTGCCATGCGTGAACCATAGAACTGACGTTTCTGTTAAGACTGAGAGTAGCGAACATGATAACCTCGCTGTTCAGATACGTCGCCGTCAAACCCGACACCGGAAAACTCAGATTCCCAGGCTGCAATGCGGTGCTATAGCCGGAGATTGGCGAGGTATACGCCCTAACGGTCCCATTTTGTAGTATAGCCACCAGAGCTTGAGCTCCGGGCATGGCGGAGGCCAAGCTGCCTGCGGGGTTGAGGGCCCAGGCAACCCATCTGTTGGTGGAGTTGATCCCGTCGTGCCGGTAAGCGACATCGAGCTGACCCGTGGACTGGTTGAAGGTCCAATGGAGGTGAGAGTTCAGGTAGGGAAGATCGCGACAGTTGGAGAAGACTCTGCTGCTATTGAAGGTATAGTTATTGCAGTTTTGAGCAGAGGATGTGAGAAACAGAGAGGTCAGAGCAGAGAAGCCTAACACGAGCTTCAACATGGTTTCCATGATTTTGATCTTCCGAATGAAAGGAAAGATTTCAACTTTGGAAGAGATTTGGAAAATTCTAAATGGGTTTGTGAGAATGCAGAGGAAGCAATAATGGGTGTGTGTCCGTTTGTGACGGGAATACTTTTGAGTCTGAATTTGGAGATTTTTGAGTGAGGCAAATAGGAGGGGATTTTATAGGGAGCTTGGGCCCGGGTTCAGAGAACTTTAACCTTTATTGTGAGTCTTAAGTTGAAGAAATTTATGACGATAAAATGTTTGAGAATTTTTTTTATATATTCTTTTGGCGAGGAGGTCAAAACGTGACAAAGGGAGCAATCTCGTGGAAGAGTAAGTCTGGTATTTACCTGTGACCCTCTCATTGCAGCACGCCACAACCAAATTTGGACTCTATCCCACGAACATGGAAGAAATAACTACGTCCGCCTCGAAGGTTGAGAAAGCTATTTATGTTCTTTTTTTAAAAAAAAAAAGGTTTTAAGGTATATCCATAGCCAATCATCGTGAAACTTATTGCTTGAAAAATTGGAGTGTTATTTAAAAAATTGTTCTTTTTAATTTTTTTTATATATATCTTCAAAAATCAAACCATAAAATGATATTTAAAAAACTTAGACTACTATCATCTTTGTTACACTTGTTTATGCATTGATAATTGATAATATGTTTAAATGTCTTAAAAATTAAATTTATTTTTTTACAAGTGCTACTTATCTTATGTTTGAACTTTTTCCTTGTACTCTTTTTTTAAAAAATATAAATATTTTTAAAAGAAAATTTTTTTATTGTGCTCTTTTAGGAGTTTTATATAGCATTTATTGATATTTTTATTATACACTTATTTGTAATTTCAATGCAGCATCTATAGGTATTCTCCTCCCGTTATTATTATAAAACATTCTTAATTAATTGATACTCTTAATAAATTAGCCAATGACATTTAAAATTATACATTCTTTTTATATTTACTCTCATTTAATATGTTATCTTAATTAAAAATTTCATTCATTACTTCATTCAGGCTCTTCAATCTGAAGCTAGGCTTTAGTATGCCTTAGCTTTCCTTTGTTTATCAATATATATATATATATATATATATATTACACCCCTAATTAAGAGCATTTTTGGAAGGACTATATTAATTACATCTTGAAATATCTAAAATATCTTATATATTACATACTCCCTCCATTCAAAAATATAAAATATTTTTTAAGAAGTTGAATGCTAAAAAATGTAAGACAATTTTACTCTTTCAAGATGTAATTTTTGTCTCTTTTTAAAAAAAATACCCCTATTGATAATGACTTTATATTCATTGCAAAGTGTTTAATATGTGTAAATATGAAAAGCTAGGGTTAGTTTGAAAGTAAGTAATAACTTTATTAAACGATGAGATTCGATTAAAAATGTCTTATATTTTTTAATGGAAGGAGTAAATTTTAGAAAAAAAAATGCCTTATAATATTGAGCACTTTTTGTTTATTTTCTTTTTATTATTTATATAATGAATTAAGGTCAACAACAATCTAAAGGATTTTGCCACAATAATGGTTTGCGTGGGTTTTTTTTTTTTCGGAAATGGATGGAGTATTCAGTGATTCATAATTTTTTCCAATTCAATGACAGTTATAATTGATATAAGGATTAAAGGATAATTTAATTTTTGAATTATAGATTCAAAAGCATGTGAAATTTTAAATTCATTTTTTACATAATGCTCTCCATTAATTTTTAAAAATGGTACAATGTAACCTTTTCTATTAGCAGAAGATAACTTTAATCATTATTTAATTAGAAAGTGACAAAAAAGACCAAGAAAACTACTTTAAAGGACTTAACAATTGCAAATAATGATATAAAAAGATACAGAAAATAACCAAGAAAATTAATGGTCATTTTCTATATTTTTTTTATATCCTTTCTATTCTTTTCTAATTAATTAATAGTTAAAATTAATTTTTATATACAATAAGAGCCACATTACATGATTTTTAAAAGTTAAAAAGAATTATTGGATAAAAAATGAGTTTATAGTTTCAAACATACCTGAACTTATAATTTAAATGTCAAATTGTTATTCAACAATATAATGAATGTAACATCCATAAGCTAGCTACTTGTTTCTTTTAATTATGAGCAAGTTAGATAATATATTTGTGTTCGACCAAAAAATATATATTTGTGGTCCACATGTTTGTAACGTCAGGGTTGAAGTAGAAATAAATGTACAGCTATATATAAAATGAAGAGGCTTTTTGTTTTTTTAACCAAAATAGCGAAGAGGTCACTGGGAGGACCATTTCGTTTGCTTTCAAAGTTGAAATGCACGCCGCCATTTTTAATAGCGCCGAATCCACTTATCCACACCACTTCAAATGTTTTGACCTTTTAACGCCACAAATGGGGCCTCACCTGCTATTATACACACGCACGCAAATTTTTACTTCCAATTTTTTTTTGGTAAATAGGTGAATGCTTGTGAATTTTTTATACTCCTCCCATTTAAAAATATAAAATATTTTAAATTAAATTTTATTTTTTAATAAAATAATTACTTATTTTTAAATTAATTATATTTTTTTATATTTACCCTTATTAAATACCTTATAATAAATATAAAGTCATTTATTAATAGAAATATTTTTTAAAAAAATAATTATTACATCTCAAGAGACTAAAAATACTTTATATTTTTAAACATCCAACTTTTTAAAAATATTTTATATTTTTAAATAAAAGAAGTATTAACAATAAGATTTGAATTCACTGTTTTACTATACTTTATTTTCATTTTACTTTTGGACGCAGTGTACAATTATCAGGTTCGTAATCTCATGTTTTGAAGGTTGATTGATTGATGATTTTTAAGTTTCTCAAATTTGTAAGATGACACATAATCTTTATGTTTTTGAGCTGGCAGAATAATAAAAGTTAGGAGAGTGACGTAGATATCTCAAAATAATTAATTAATTTAAAGTAAGTTTTAAAATATTAAAATTCAGAAATTTACAAGCTCAAATCTAAATTTTGCAACATCTTTGCAATGAATTTATAATTTATTTTTTAAAATTTTAATATATAGTTAAAGAATAAATAATTTTTTTTATATTAAAATTTGAAACACAAGTTATAAATTTATTATAATAAAATTATAAAATTAAAAACAAATTTATAAATTCTTAATGTCTGACACTTAAAATTTAAGTTAAATTAATTGGTGCTTTAGAACTATCATTCTCCCAAAAAAGTTTTATGGGTAAAAATACCCTCATTTAATTCAAAACACAGCTTAGTCATACTTGTAAATTTTTTAAAAAATAAAAAAAAATTAATTTTTTTAATCCTTCAACCTTTAAGTCACTTGTAACTCAATCCCTTAACTATGACTCGCTATGATTCAGTCCCTCAACTATAACTCGCCTATAACTCAATTCCTCAACTTTTGAATCACTTACAAATTAGTCCCTTAACCTTTGTTAATTTTTTTTATGTTAGCTTATATCTCACATTAATGAATAAGAAGAGGGTATTTTAAAATAATATATAAGCATTTTTTTATCCCTCTTATTTGATAAATTTTTTTTAAAAAAATAAAAAATAAGGACCAAGTTATAGGTAAATCAAAAGTTGAGGAATTGAGTTGCAGCGAGTTATAATTAAAGAATTAAATCGTAGTAAATTATAATTAAGGGATTGAGTTATAAGTGAGTTAAAAGTTGAAGGATTAGGAGATTAATTTTTTCAAGAATAAATTATAATTATATTGATGTTTCACACCGTTGTACTCCAATTCTTTTCCTTATTATTTATCATATTATTACCGGTGACGTCAGGCATCTCTCTTCTCTAATCTGAATTCTGCTCATGCACGACTCCCTTTACAGCATATTATCGTGAAAACTAAATGTGACATAAATCATGGAGAGAATGACAATTGTCCTGTTATGACAGCTAGGTCTCTCAATTTTTTTAAAAAATAAATTATAAATATTAATTTAAACACAGTAATCCTAACTTATATTTAGAATTTAAATATTTATTTTTAATTAAAATTTTTAAATTTATAATTGTTTGAATCAATATTTATAACTATTTTTTAAAATAAATTTGTCAAAAATATAAATTTTATAAATTTATTTTTTTAAAATAAATTTATTGTTTTGGGGTTTTATATTCTTCCTAAAGTATGTCAATATTAATGATATATGGAATGATGTCATGCTTCCAGATAAATTTCAGAATGAGGTGTGAGACTGAGAATCACGGTATCAGCACGCTTCCCCTCATTTTGGGTGGCGAGTAATTTTAGCTATTTGAACCACTAAATTGAATGGCTCAAAGCAGGATGCAGGACATCCAATTTCTCTTCCAATAGAGCTTGGAATTTTTTATTTTCAAATATTTGTCAATATTATCTTTTTATGTTCAAACCAGGTGTTTAAAACAAGGTCATAATGTAAATTGGGAAACAACGTAAGGGTTGATCAGCGTTCCCAAGTCTTTGCCCTTTCGTGTATCTTCCTTCAAGTCACTTGTCAGACCGTTAATCTATTTTAATTCAAATAAAATCCCCCCTCAATGCGTCTATCTTCTTACCCATCTGCTTATTCATAATTTAATACACAAGTTTAAATGATAAATTTATATGTACTTTTTCTTTGTTTTTAATGTTAAATTCTCATCCAAAACATAATTAACTGTTAAATCATTGCTTTGCTCAGTTTAGCAAAATGCCTTGATCATGACTAACTAAATGAATACATTCATCGATTATTTTGATTGAAAATTATAACCCAAAAAAAAAAAATCCTTCGCAAGAAAGATAAACAATAAGCCCCAAAAACACTTTAAGGTAAAAGTAAAATACATGATATAAGGACCTATGTTAACTTCTTCTTCTTCTTCTTGTTTTTCTTTTGAGTCTGCCAATTCAAACTTGCAACTTGCAGGTTGAGTGTGCAGCACACTAATCAACATGAAATGAGGACCTATGTTAAGTTCTATCTTCATGTAAGACTCAACCTTCTTGGAAATAATACAATGTAGTAATACCCTTTATAGAGATTTTATTACCGGTTAATTAATGCTAGATTCAACCTCCTTACGTAGGGTCACCAACTAA